CTTAAATTTCTCTGAATTGACCCCCTGTTGCACCCTGAATGTTAAAACAGATGAAGATATCTTTATTTTTTTTATTTTTATTTTTATGTTTTGTGAGGAGATAGCCCTGTGCTAACATCTGCCAATCCTCCTCTTTTTTTTTTGACGAGGAAGACTGGCCCTAGGCTAACATCCATGCCCATCTTCCTCCACTTTATATGGGACACCACCACAGCATGGCTTGCCAAGCCGTGTATCCGTGCGCGCCCAGAATCCAAACCCACAAACCCCGGGCGACCGCAGCGGAGACTGCGCACTTAACCACTTGCGCCACCAGGCAGGCCTCAAGATGTCTTTCTTTAAAAATACATTCATCAGGGGCCGGCCCGGTGATGCAGTGGTTAAGTTTGTGCACTCCGCTTCAGCAGCCCAGGGTTCGCGGGTTCAGATCCCAGGCGCGGACCTACACACTGCTCATCCACCCATGCTGTGGCGGCATCCCACATACAAAATAGAGGAAGATTGGCACAGACGTTAGCTCAGCGACAATCTTCCTCAAGCAAAAAGAGGAAGATTGGCAACAGATGTTAGCTCAGGGCCACTCTTCCGCACCAAAAAAAATATAATCATCAAAATGACTTGAGAAATTACAAAGGTTAAACTTTCATTAGTTTTCTTCTGGCAGATTTTATTCTTAATTTGCAAACATTTGGAATCTTTGGATGACAAGAGAAAATACTCACTAGGAACCTCTGTAAGACCCTAATATTGCTCACATAGGCCAGTTATTCCCAGATGTCCAAGAACAACAAACAGTTCAACAGACTGTGCATAAACACGTGTGTCCTCTAGTTTCCAAGCTCTTGCTTTTGGCCAGCTCCTTCTGCGTATTGCTGGGCCCAGGTCTTGGGCAGCACCAGTGGGCATTATTTGAGGGAACAGAAACATAGCACTTTCCAGGAAAGACTCAATCTTGTTACTAGTTCGTTTTCCCTAACTTTCTCTCTTAATTAGTATATTTTTTAAAAGGTGATACAGTAATATTGTTCAGGGAGAGCATATTTCCAGCAAAAAGCAATATAGTATAGCAAGAACACTCCTCTTGGTGTTAGAAATTCTTGTCTGCTTCTGATTTTTACTATCTGTGTGACCTTGGAAAATCTACTTGACCTGTCTACACCTCAGTCTCTATATCCCTACAGTGTGGACACAGTGTTGATGCAGGTCACTGATATATGCAAAAATTATTCTGAAAAGTGCCAAACAAATGCAAATTGTGGTTTGATTTACAAATGAATAAGGCTCAAATTTTGCCTTTCTGCCAGTTGCTGTCTATTGTAGACAAGGCATAAAGAAAAATCAGGAAGGGAACCTGAAAGAAGACTGCCGGAGAGCTCTACTGGGCACATCAGGCAAGACCTTTGGCTTGCTTTTATTCTCGAAAGTTTGACCACAAAATATAGTGGCTAAAGGTTATTATGATTTACATTTTGATACAGTTACTATTATGAAGCATCTTCCTTGTGCCAGACTCTGTGCAAAGTGCTTACAACTTTTCTATAACATTTAACTCTCACATCACCCTTGCATGATAAAGGTCATCATTTAATAGATGATTAAACTGAATCTTAGAGAATTTAAGTAACTTGTCCAAGTCACAGAGTTACGAAGACATAAAACAGTAATTTAAACCTAAATCTCTCTATTCTGCTCCTAAGTGGAAAAATAAAATAATAATAGCCCCAAAAGATCCTAGTGCTGAATCCTGACAGTGGGTTGGGAGGCTGAGTTATGGTATGGTACGTGGCTTAAGCTCAAGGGCAAGCACCTAAACATGGCCTCAAAGACCACCACTGCCCAGTCAGTTTTCTAGAAATAGAATCAAGCAGGTGAATAACTCCTCTTCTATTTAGGGAGCTAAATGAGGGAACTAGGAGATACACTGACTTGGGGAATGGATGTTTCAAATTCTCCTTCCCCTAAGCACACCCACATTTCTATATTATGGTGTACAAGGTGCCCGAGAAAGGAATAGAGAAAGTGATAGAGAGTTTGAAAGAGCAAGATTAATTTTAATTTCTGCAATCATAGTGGTCTTCATGAAGGAATTGCTCTTGGAACCTTTAAAAATGGATAGGATTAGTGTTTGTAGGGTCAGGGAGGAAAAGAAATAGAAGGGATAGTCTATTTAGAGGGAATAGTTCTTTAATTCATTCCACAAATATTTATTGGGGACCCACTATGTGCCAGACCCTGTTCTAGGTACTGAGTCGTGAACAAAACAGAAAAAAAAATAGCTGTCTTCACAGAGTTTACATTTTAGGGGGTGGAAGAAACAGACAATAGACAAGACAAATATATAAAATAAATAGTATTTTAGATGGCGGTAAGGAGAAAAATAATGTTGGGAAAGGAGATAGGGAGTGTCGGGGGAGAGTCGAGTAGAGATGAGATTTAGACAGGAAATCCAGAGAAGTTCTCACAGAGAGGATAATATTTGAGTAAAGACCTGAATTGGGGAGGGAACAGGCTCTGCGGATCTCTGAGGCAGAGCACTCCAGAAAGAAAGAACAGCAAGTACAAGGGCCCAGAGGTAGGAGCATGCCAGGCATGATTGAGGACTGGGGAGGAGGTCAGTGTGGCCAGAGAGGAATATTTGAAATGAAGAGTATTGGGAGATGGAGTCAGAAGGATACGAGGTGGAATGCCATGAGGCAAGCTCCTGTATGTCTGTGAAGGTCATTGCAAGGACTTTGGCTTTTACTTCAGTTATAAGGGAGCCACTGGAAAGTTTGATCAGAGGAGTGCCATGATCTGACTTATATTTTAAGGGAATTATTCTGGCTACTCTGTTAAAAATCGAATGAAGTGATGGGAGGATGGGCAAAGGTAGAAAGAAGGAAACCAGCTAAAAGACCATTGCTGTAACGCAGACAGGAGATGATATATCTTGAATCTGATGGAAGTAAATTAGTGTGAAGTAGTTTAATTCTGGATGTATTTTGAAGACATATCAAATAAGAGCTGAGAGTGGACAAAGGAAAGAGAGGAGTCAAAATTACTCCAAAGTATTTGACTTAGCACCCAGAAGAATGGAGTTTCCAGTTGTATGAGGTGAAATGTGGAAGTATGCAGAGAGTCTGTGTAGAGAAGGAAATTGTAAGATTTGGTTAGAAAGTAGCCTGCCGGAGGCCAGTGTCTAGGCCTGAGATGGAAAGAAGAATCTCCATCTTATACTCATGTCAGAATGAACCAGGCTGGTTTCCCTAGAGAGCCTCTCCGCTTGGGGAAAAAACGAGTCAGCATTTGGGCCAGCAATCAAGAACGGGATAATAAGCCTCTATAGTTTGAAAGTCATGAAGAACCATGCTATCTTTGGAGAGTTCCTTTTTATCTCTCCTAAAAAAAACTTCCCCAAATGACACTCTGTCTTTACCTCAGCTGTTCCTTTCACCTTACTGCCATGCTCTTCCTAGATGTCTCAATCCTCTCCATTCCTCATTCACTAGGCCTGGTAGTAGATTCCGCCTTCTAAACACTTCTGTCCATCACCATGGCCTCACTCCCAGGTAAGACCATTCTAGGCTATCACTGGGATCGTTGCATTGCCTCTTAATGGGTCTTCCTGACACCACTCTCACGGCCCTTTAATCTTTCTCCACACTGTAACCAGACTGGTCTTTCTAAAATAGAAATCTGATCAGGTCCTTTCCTAGTGTTAACCCTACAAAGGATCTCAATGCTCTTATGATAAAGTACAGCGATCTTAATGTGGCTTAAGCAGTCCTGCCTTCCTCTACTGCCTCAGTGCTCCCCATTCTCCTACCTCCCACTCCATGTTCTGGCCATTCCAACCTTCTTAAAGTTTCCCAAACAAAGCATGCTTAATCTCATCTGTGAACCTTCAAACATGCTTGGAACACTCTTTCCCCCACTCTTCATCCAGCTGATATTCAGCCATAATGCTCAGCTTCAGCGAGCTTCTGGGTCTGATGCCCCTCCTGATTCAGTCCCACCTCAGCACTTATCAAACCACATTGTAGTTGCCTGCTTAGATGCTCATCTGCCCTTTCGACTCTAAGTCAACGAGAGCAAGAATCATGTCTACCTTGTTCAACATTATGTCCCCCACTCCCAGCAAGTTCTGGGTAGTCAGAAGTAACAGGCACCCACTCCGTATTTGTTGAGTCAATAACCCGTATCAAATGTTAGTTCTTTAATGAAAGTTTCCCCGGAACCCTCCATTGGAAGGGATGTCTCCCTCTTTGGGCCTCTATAGATTTTAACTCCACATGTGTTACAGATTTATCACCTTATACCTTTCACTGTAGGTACATAATTTATCTCTGTTATTGAACAAGTTTCTTCTTAAGTGCAGAATCCACGTCTAATTCATCTTTGTATTTTCCCTAGACCATTCACCATACAGCTTTATGTATACTCAGACTCCAATAAATGTTTGTTGAATTAATTAATGAATTACTAGGGTTTAAATGTTACATTATATTTCAGAATCTCCAACTGGGCCAGTTTATGGAGAGCATATGCTTTGAGGTTGGAAATAGTGGGTGATAAATCTAAACAGGTAAGTTGAGGCAAGTGGAGGATGTAGTTTGCTCACCTAAGAGGACTTAATAGTTTGGAAACTGGAGATTTGTTGAGGATTTCTAAACCAAGGAGGTATAGTATCATAGCTGAGGATTAGGGAGATTAATCTGTCCTTAAGATAAATTTTGTGGTACAGAAATACAGTGCTACCCTGCATGCATCCCCAGAGTTGGGTAATGGAGTAAGTAAATCTTGGTACTGTTGGGGATTCAGGTCTTTCTTTAGGGTTTAGGGGAAAAAACATGGAAATAGAAACAATTATTAGGCATACTATGTTGGCACCCATATCTTAGTATTGCCTTTGGTTCTAACTGATAAATTGCTCCAATTCATTCTCTAATTATTCAGAATCCATGGATGTAGCTATAGTAGAAGTAAATCTCAAAGTTAACCCCTAATTTGTTTCCCAACAGGTTCTCTGACTCTGAGAACACATCATGTTCAAGATTCCAAAATGGGATTTGTGATCAATGCTATCTATTCCATGGCCTACGGGCTCCACAACATGCAGATGTCCCTCTGCCCAGGCTACGCGGGCCTCTGCGATGCAATGAAGCCTATCGATGGACGGAAACTTTTGGACTCCCTGATGAAAACCAATTTTACTGGGGTTTCTGGAGACATGATCCTATTCGATGAGAACGGAGACTCTCCAGGAAGGTATTGTTACAATTCTCTTCTAGATAATAGAGCCTGAACAACAGCCATCTCTGGCTCCTGAGCTGCCTGTTTCTCCCCTTTGTGGTTATCTAGGCATCCTGGCCATGTTTGAGTAGCTCTGACATCACAAAGTGAGCAAAGACAGAGAGGGAAAGCCCCATCTCCTGTGGCCAGGGAAAAGTATCGATGCTGATGTCCAAAACAGGGTCCTGGACTCATCACATTTCAGAGACATAAACATAGAGGCAGGAGCCTCACATTATCATAGATCATCAAAAAAACCAGCTCTGTGGTTTTTTTGTGTATGTTTGCCATATAATTCCCTGTACTCTGATCTCTTCTTGGGTCATAGAACTATTCTTAAATAAGAACAATTCAATTTCCAGCCATCCAGAAATAGGGCTGTGGTGCTGTTATATTGTTGGCTGTACCTGTAGTGAGTTAAAGTCATATTTTATTTTAAAGTCATATTTTATTTTATTATCTTCCAACTGGAGCACTTTCTCCTTTCTTGAGGACTAAGTTGCCTTTTTCTCTGAAATTTTACCTTTCATTATTTATAGAGAAGAGCCTGAGAAATATGAACTTACTCATAATTATAGGTCAGCCTCCAGGGAAAATCATTAGGTACCCAGAACTTATCAGAATTCACATCTATTTCATACTTCAAACTCTTAAGTGACTCTATACATGGGGCTTTTAATCCATGAGAGATGATGTCATTGAAATGATATTCGAGTTGTAGCAGGGCTGGGTCTTCACTCTGCCTTGCATCAGAACAATCAGGGTCCTTTGGTCTCCCACTGTAAAATCCCAGGTACTCTTCTGGCAACAGATTATGCTTGACAGCTGTGCCTGAAGAGGGTGACTTTATACTCTGTTTTCAGTTGACCATACCAAAAGGAGGTCTCATGAGTCCCTCCATGACTCACACCCAGTGTGCCTACACATCATACCGGCCACCTTGGTTTAGCTTGTTTCCGTATTCCTGGGGTGAGCTGGAGCTTGGCCTTGTTATCATCTCACAAGCTGGACTTCTAAGTGACAGCTAGTTTCAAGTCATGCAGCCAAGAGGAAAACTGGGATATTTTCTCTATTCTAGAGACTTGAAGAATATTGCTCCAGGCAGGCCCTTTGCTAAGATAAGTTGACTTTTCATGTGTAGGTTTCTAATTTTGGGCTATTCAGTATATCCTTTGGCATGGGAGGAATACAAGCATTTTCCCAGGACCAAAGAAACTTCTCATTTGTTGTAAGTCTTCTTAGGGCAGGTTGACCAATGAGCTCAGTCTTGGGGCTTAGGTCAAGGCGTATGCACTGATATCTGCACATGGATTTATTATTCCTGTGTGCCTCCCTAGAGCACTGACATCAGCTTGGGGCTTGTTCATAGACTTGGTGATTGCAGCTTCACCAGTTCAAAGAGTTTTCATGTCATGTACCCAAACCAGTTCCACAAATCAGATAGTAAAGAACTGTCTCAGATGGTTCAGCTCTATTCCAATAGGAAACCATAATGGATCAGACAGAGCATCACTCTCTCATTCACAATCCTCCAAAAATGCTGCAATGGGGTACATTTAGGACATTGGTTCTTAACCTTCTTTGGAACATGAATTTCTTTAACACTCAGAGACAATTTATAGATATTCTTTCAAGGACAATATACATAAAATTTTGCAAACAATTTCCAGGAACTCACAGCTGTTTAGAGACTTTCAATGCATTACTAAGGTTGGGTATTATAATAACCCATTAATAAATGATCAGAATTGGCCCCTGAGGGCATGAGCCAGACTCAGGAGAAGGTGGTTTGCAATTTCTTGTTTTTCCAACTCATTCAGTTATATTTACCAAATAATTATAACTAACACCTAGTGAGTGTGTGTTCTGAGCCAAACACTAAGCTAAATCCTCTATGTATTAATCTTATGAGGTAGGTAATATTATTATCCTCTTTTCTAGCTGAAGGCTTACAAACCGAGGCTTACAAAGGTAAATGACTTGCCCAAAGACACAGTCTAATAAATGATAGTCAAGATTCTAACTCAGTCTCCTAGGCTTCAACTCCTAACCATATACAACAGCCTGCCAGTTAATCAACCAGGATCAAAATAAAAAATCCATTATTTGCTGAGAAATGTATTTGTACGCATTATGTTGTTATTTCTGTGGAGTAAAAGTTATGGCTCTGCTGGATCAAAGACATTCCACACTGGGCAACGAACCAGAGGAGGCTGACTGACTAGGGATTCCCCTAAAATGCCAGTCACAAGAGGAAGATCCTAAACATAGGAAGCTGGGAGAGTGGCAACTCACTCTGGCAAACACACTTGTGGATTTTTGGAAAATAAATTGTAATCATTGTTTTTAAACTTCACATCTAATTAGACTACTATCAGTCCATGATTCTTTAATGAAACCCTTAAAGTGTGTTACAGAATTCAGAATTTTTGAATTTACAAAAGGTTATACAGCCATATAATGCACCCAACATGTGTGGAGCAACACTCCTTAATCAAAACATTAACATTTCTGCAGCAAAACATATGAATATTCACAAGAAGTGTGATAAATAGACTATAAATAGCCTCATGACAGTGCAGGTCAAGTTCTGTCACTAGATCAGTTCAGACTGGGTCATGTTTTGATGCCAAGTGAGTTATGAAAAAAATTATCGTGTTCAGAGCTCCAAGAATTTCAGAATTATAGATAAGAAATATGGACCTTTACTATTTACCACCAATGGTATAGATCATGGCTGGGCAAACAGTGGTCAGTGGGCCAAATCGAGTCTGCTGTCTTTGTAAATAAGGTTTTATTGCGACACATTGAGACTCGTCTCTTTAGATACTGTCCGTGGCTGCTTTCATACTACACTCACAGTGTTGAGTAGTTTCAACAGAGACCATCTCACAAAGCCTAAAATATTACTGTCTGTCCCTTTACAGCAAAAGTTTTCTGACCCCTGGTATAGAGAGTCCATTGCAAACTAAGGTTTAAGAAGCCGTGCCATTGCCTGGGACTGACTGTAACTGGAGAGAGGAAACACGGAAAGTCAATGACAGACCGAGTACAAATGACTAGTTAAAGCAAAAATTTTAACATTCTATTGTGGGGCTTATAAGTGTGTAGACATAAAATATTCGACAACATGAAGGAATGGGGTATAGAATTATACAGGGGCAAGGTTCTTATATTTTATACTAAGTGACACAGTATTAACTTTAAGTAGAATAAGATAAATTAAGAATGCATATTATAAACCCTTGAGCAACTATTAAATGTTTAATTAAGAGGAATAGCTAAAAAGCCAATGGAGAAATACTAAAAAAAAAAATTGATTAACCCAAAAGAAGACAGAAAAAGAGGAACAGATGGACAGAAAAAGATGTGACAAATAGAAAATAAGGCTAGAACACTAGAAATTTGCAGATACCAAGCTGGTTTGCACACGAATTCTTAGTATGTGGCTCTGTCCATAGAAAGACCCTAGAGATGATCTGTTTCAACTTCCTAAGTTTCCTGGGGAGAAAACTGAGTCTGAGAGAAAGGAAGAGGCATGCCCAAGGTTACATAGTCAGTTAGTAACAGAACAAGGACACTATATAATTCTCAGGCAAGATAATCAAATAATAAGATTTTAACATAGATTTTTTTTATATTCCTTATATTAAATTTGAAATGATTCTATGTATATAGTAGAAAAAGGTTTTATTATTAGTTACCATTAAAGTTTTTGCTCAAACCAACTATGTGGTCTCTCTAATCTGTGATTATCCAAACCCCAAAGGCATAGATCATTATAATTGCTTTGTTGCATGGACCAGCACTTGGAGTGTCCATTTTATTTGTTGTTGTTAGTGCCATTGAGTCAATTCTAACTTCTAGAGACCCTGTGTACAGCAGAGCAGAACCCTGCCCAGTCGTTTTGCACCATCCTCTCACTTTCTGGCGCTATATCAATTCTCTGCTGCTGTTCATAGGGTTTTCATGGCCAATTTTTTCAGAAGAGGGTGGCCAGGTCCTTCTTCCTAGTCTGTCTATCTGGAAGCTCCACTGAAACTTGTCCACCGTGGGTGACCCTGCTGGTATTTGAAATCCCAGTGGCATAGCTTTCAGCATCACAGCAACACGCAGACACCACAGTATGACAACCTAGACGGGTGGTGTGGTGCCCTGACCAGGAAATGAACTCCGGCCACTGCGGTCAAAGCACCAAATCTTAGTCACTAGACCACCAGGGCTGGCTGCATTATGTTTACCAACAGATAATTTATCACATATTTAAGAACTAAACTTTTTCTTTAAAGCACTTTAGCATTAGAATTATAGACTGAGAGGAACTTAGGAGCCACATAAATCTAGTACTCTTCACGGTTCCCTCCACCAAATGATGTTTCAGTTGCCCTGACTACAACCTTGCTTCAGCCCTTGGGTAAGGAGAGCCTCACCATCTTCTGAGGAAATCTTCTCTAATTTTCAGAGAGTTATAAACACTTAGAAGGTTCTTTATATCTGTTCGATGGAATCCTGCTTTCCTCTAGTTCCTATTTAGTGCTTTAATAGAATATTTTTTCCTTTTGGCTAGAATGTATTTTATCTGTTTAATTTTGGTTTTGAACAATATATAAAAATCATTTAAAAATTTTTCAGGATATTTCAACTATAAATTGTGGCCAGTTAAGGAAGAGGCAGATGTAGGGAGGTAGAGTTTTCTTGTTTATTTTTCAAAAATTGGATCCCTTCACTTTTTATCATTTCTCCTATAGAAAACAAAAAAGGCATAGCTATAGAGATAAGAGCCTTAAGATGTAGAGTAGTTCAGATTTCTGCAATATTTAAGCAATGTAAAATTGATCTCTCAGCTCTATCAAGTAGATTTGGAGTGGTCTAATGGAGAAGAATGCGCAGCAGACTTTTAAATCTAAAGGCTGAGGTTAGGTCTTGGCTCTGCCACTTGCATACTCTGCAATCTGGTCATATTCATTCATCTCAAGAGTCTCAGTTCCATTATCTGTAAAATTTACAATTTGAACCAGACCTTGTCAGAGTTAAGAATTGGTAGAAATACGCTTGATGGCTCATTTTGGGGTGAGCAATGAAACCCTCATATCTCTTCAAATCGGTAGCGGCAAAGAAAGAAGCCTCCTGACACCAACATTTCTTTCTTCCTCCCAGCCTAGAATGTTCAAAGGTTATTTGCTCACAGAGAGTCAAAGTCTTCTTTCTGAAGTCTTAGAAGCCCATGTATTTGAAGTAGCCAATGACATAATATATGAGTTCTTTTTACCTCAGTGTTCTGTGTTCTAATATCTCAACTCATTGCATGCTTAGTAGCCATGGGATAACTGTGACAGAGTGGAAAGGTGTAGGACTCAGTTTTGTATCCTTCAGATTGGTACTTTTGGTTTAGAAGTGAAATTTAGACATTTCCTCAAAATTGTTACTGACTGCAAATAAAACACTGTGGGATAATCCTTAAGCCACTGAACAGCTAACAAAACTTAAGAATGAGTTATTCTGAAAAAGACTCTACAGTAAAAAATGTGATTGGGAGTGAAAACAGAATGGTATCATTTTACAATGTAGTCTAAACAGATTGATGTCAGATTTGTTCTTAGTATTTCTATACTGAGCATTGATCTGAATATGGTAATCTGGTCACTTGAACCCAAAAGCTAGAAAGCTTTCCATCCATGTCAATTTGAGGGTAGCTAAATATGCTGAGCGTGGAAGCTTGGAAGAGGCATTTATAAGAGCCCATCTGCCAACCCTTTAAGTCCTGGGAGGTATAAGCACAGGGTACTATGTGAAGACATTGTGTACTAAGACACACCTACAGGTATGTCTACAGGAACTGACATAGTGGTGATACTGCTCATCCAATGTCCTCAGATTGGAAAATTATTTCAGAAATGCTTTTCTGGACATGTTCTTGCATATAGGAAAAATCTTATAAATAAGCACATTAATTTTCCCTCTTTAGATCTCTATCCCCATACTCAAAATAAGAATTATACCTAATAAAGGCTGAGAACTCATGAAGTACTGGTAGCTCCCAGCACTTTTACATTGCATGAGGTGCTTCAGAAGCTATCTATTTTCAGACTTATTTTAAACATCACTCTTAAAAGTATCTTTAGACAATGAATTTAGCCATTGATAAAGGGCAAAATAAGAAAGGTAAAATCAGGCCCTATCCAAATTGTCCCCACATTCCCTGAAGCTGAAGACAAGACTAAAGATTTACCAAATTTCTCGCTTGGTTAGAAAGTAAAATTTTATCATTTTACTTGAGTAGAGATGAAAACCTTTCTATCTTTTTCAGAAGCCTAAGAGTAGTACTTATTTAAACTTCTTGAAGTTATTTCAAAACTATCTTTCATCCTGCTGAGGTCAAGTCACCTTCTCACAAGGGATTATTTTCTATTTCAGGTATAAGCTTGGAAGTTTAAAAAAAATGGTCTCTGAAGAGAAAGTAAAACAGACAGGTTTTTTGTTATTCTAAGTGTACTGTCATGGAAAATTGCACTGTCACTAATATGACAGTAGATACATTTTTGGGGAATGAAGTCTATTACTTTTTCATAGCTGAATATTTATATTCTTAGCTGAATAAGTATTACATTCTTGTTCCTAAGGTATGAAATAATGAATTTCAAGGAAATGGGAAAAGATTATTTTGATTACATCAATGTTGGAAGCTGGGACAATGGAGAATTAAAAATGGATGATGATGAAGTATGGTCCAAGAAGAGCAACATCATCAGATCTGTGTGCAGTGAACCATGTGAGAAAGGCCAGATAAAGGTAAAATAAAGTCCGTGTTTCTTTCACTTTTGTTGTAAATTCAGAAGTGTTTATTATCATTGGGTATTTTTTTTAATTTTAGATACTCGTTTTACCTTTTACATTGTAAGCTTCTAATGTCAGAAACTTTGTTTTTTACTTTTCTCTCATTAATTCCTTATGATAGCTAGTGCAATTCAAAATACTCTTAGAAGTTGGACTGATTGAACTGATTGATGAGTCAGATTTGCCCACATCCTTTCTGCTCATGTAAGCCTTTAAGACATGCTTCCTGGGAATAAACAGTTAACAGTTGGGAATCACATTTATTTCTAATTAATTTAGCAAATATTTATCAAACTCCTACTAATGTAATAGTTTATATCAATGGGGTAAAATCATCCTTTACTGTCAGAAGATCTACATGAGACTGTAAAGTCTAGAAGAGTAAAAATATCATGGGCACAGATAAGCAACATCATGTAAAATGTAATGACTTTATTAAGAAAGAAGAAAAAGGAGCCACATACTTCATACAAAAGAGAGGGAGAAATTTCTTCTGGATAAAATGTCAGACATTGGATCATGAAGAATAGATGTGATTTCAGAGAGAGATGTGGGGAAATGATCACTTATGTAAAGGGAACTGTAATAGGAAAGGTACAGAAGTAGTCAATTAAAGACTATTCTGGAACAACAGTGAATAATCTAGGGTGCATCACTCGAACTGGTTATTATAAAGAAGAAAGTTGAAATGATAGGTTGAAACTTGTGGAGAGTTTTGAATGTCATACTATATAGGTTGAACTTAATTTTCGTTAACCAGCAGTCTGAGAATAATTGTTACCAAGATATTGACATAAGTTGGGCTACGGTAGGTGAAGATTCATGAGAAGAGTTATGAAACATGAGTAAAGAAAGAAGAGACAAGTTACAAGGACACTGATAGTGGTGGCAAGGGCCCTGAATTATGGAAGAAACAGTGAGAATGTAAAGAGGGCAGGGGAGATACTTGAGAGAAATATTATGGAGGTAGACTCAATCAGTCCTATGTACCAATTGGATGTAGGGTGGGAGAAGAAAAAGGCCAAGAAAATCAACTGCAGTGCCAAGTCTTAGTAACTAGAAAGTGCCATTGTCAGGAACAGAAAAATGGGAATGGTTTCGGAGAAAAGGCAATGGTTAGTTTGGGGGACTGTTGGTTTTAAGATATCTATCCAGTGATGGAAAATACTGGTCTATAACAATGAGAAATAAGGCTGAAGATACAGATTTAGGAACTAATTGAACAGATTTAAAGTTGAAGCTGTTGGAATAGATAATAAATATGGACTGAGAATAGACAATGAAGATCTGATTTTAAAGTGTAAAGGTGGAAGAAAAGGTAGAGGGTTAGTGGCAACAGGGTCAGGAAGAGAGAGAACCAGAGAGCACACTGTCATGTAGGATGGTGCTCAGTGCAATAGAGAGGTCAAGGGAGAGAAGGACTGAGGGAAAGACATGAGAATTGGGGGTTAGCCCTTCATCTGGAGCCTTCTGGAAACAGAAGCCTGCCAGATTGAACAGAATAGAATGATAATTGAGCAACGAGAAGGGTGAGGTGAAAAGCAGGTAAGGAAGGGGTAATCTGGTAGTTAGAGGACACTGAAAAGCTACTTTTAGGCTAAGTAAGATCTGGCCACACTTACAGGAAATAAGCCAGTGAAAGACAGGATAAAGATATAATAAAAATAAAACAAAGGTTAGCTTTTGGGGTACAATGCTCTAGGGGAAGAGAAAACATTATCAAAATAATTTATTCATCAAATAGTTATTGAAGTACTACAATAGCATATTTCAAGCAGCATATACACCCGGAGCAGGTGGCCTTGGTCTTTTTAATCAACCTCGCCTTCACTATTTAGAATACATTTGAGGTATTCCTTCATGGGTGATTAAAAATGAAATTAAAATATTTCAATATCAATTGTAAGGTCTTCAAAGGGTAGTTCTGAAGATTTGGTAAGCATAAGTCCAGAAGGAAGAAAGACAAGGTAAATGAAGATAAATAGAAATTTATTAATGTCTGCTAAATGGCCCAATAGCTTATGGAGTTCTGAAAATTTATGACTGTTATTGTTATGGTATACAGCAAAGGTGGGTAAACTATGGCCCACAGGCCAAATCTGACCTGCTGCCTGTTTTTGTAAATAAAGTTTTAGTGAATTACAGTCATGCTTATTTGTTTATGTCTATGGCTGCTTGCATGCTATAGTAAATAGAGTTGGATAGTTGTGTTGCAATATAAACTGTATGACCCACAAAGCCTAAAATATTTACTATCTGGTTCTTTGCAGATAAAGTTTGCTGACCTTTAATATAGTGACAGTCTGCATCTTGGCCAATCATCTTGTAGTTAAACTCTTTATGTGAAATTCTTTATAGACTCACTCACAATATTGATTGTTCCTAATTTCCAGTTCTTCCTGTAGAAAGATTCCTCTGTTGTTGGATGTCGTTTTAATCCTTCATAGCAATACAGTTTGAACCTGTAACTTCAAAATGCTGAATAGTTGATTTGAGAGATTTCTTTATATATACTTTTCTACCCCATTCTATTAGGAAAAATTTACACAATGAAAGAATTTGACATCCTATCATCATATTTTTAATACTAGTTAATTTGTAATAATGTTTATTTAGTCTTTTTTAATCCCAAATTCTATTTTCCTAACCAGATCTCATTTTCAATTCATTAAACACCCAATTGACAATATTTTCTTAATATGGCTTATGGTTGTTACTGAGCAACTTCATTAATGATATCAACATCTCATAGAATTATTCAAATTGGTTAACTTAGTGTCCATGAAAGAACACTTAGTCTAGCAGAGGTTCAAATATGTTATATATAGTTATTCATAAAGAAAGCACCACCACTTCCAGGGTGCTCAAAAAGAGCGGGAATTACTATGGAAGAGAATTGTAACCACCTCTTGTATTCAAAATGAATGTGAAACAGAAGATAACAAGCAAGAAAGAAAAGTATAACAAATCAGTTCTGAAAGATCAGAAGGATACATATTAAGTTGTCACTACTGATTCAAAGAGAGATTGTAATATTGGAATTAATTGTGGAAAAGGGCATGAATTTATTTTGGTAAAAAATCGAAATCCACAAACCAATGCACAATGAACCATAAGAAGTCAGCATATTTGAGGGGGACGGGGTGCAGAGGTTGGAAAATGCAGCTGCTTTTGTTTGCCAGGCCCTGCTAATGTTCTGGAAAGAGAATCTTTCAGTACTTGAAATGTGCCTACTTGCAATACAAAATCTAATAATTGCCCAGCAATACTTTTACCAAGTATGGTTGAAATTACCCTGAAAATGAAATTCTTCATTTATCTGTAAGTATATTTATATGCATATTACTAATAAAAACAGTCAACATTTTTAGAATGTTCTACTGTTTACAAATCACTGGGATATATTATTTAATCCTCAGGAAACCCTGTAAGGTAGGTATTATTACAAAAGCAATGGTCTCAGTTTGAAGAAACAGGATCAGCTAGAGGGCTGTTTAAGGCTGCATAACTACTTAGTGGCTGTAAGTCAGACTAGAATGGTGGTTCCTCTTGATTCCCAGGCCAGTACTGTTTCCTCTACATCTTTCAAAATATCATGAGCTCTATGTTTATATAGACCAATGAGGCTCAATATTTATGAGCATGAGCCTTGAAGTCCAACATGCATTGTTTGATCCTTCATTTACCCATACATGTTGGTGAGCTTACTATGCCTCAGTTTTCTTCTCTTAAAAAAAAAGAATAAAATAAAACAAGCTACCTCATACAGAACTGTTCTAATGTTTTCATGAGATAACAGCATATGGCATGCACTAAATAGCCAGTAAATAGTCAATATTATTATGAAGAATACATTAGCTAGATTAAGCAGGTCTAATTAGCAATTTTGCCTCATTTACCTGGTTATTTTAGGGAAAGGACATTTCAGGCCCTTTTACCATCATTTCCTACTTGTATTGAAGAGCCAGCACAAGGGACAGCACAACATAAGAAAGAGGTGCCAGCTTACAATTGTATTTGGCTATAGATATCTAGACGTGGTTATTATCAAAGGTCATTAATATAGTCAGCATCTAAGACAAGGAATATAAAGTGTAATCATTGCTGTGTCTGGTTATTGCTGGTTATTAATCACAGTTTAATTATTTATAGGAATGTTTAATGAATGCTGTCTCTATTCCACAGAGGCTATTCATGCACCAGTGGTAGAAAAAAATAAAAGACATCCATTTCTAAAGCATAACATCTGGGACTCTCTCAACTGTTAAATTATTTCAATTATTTTCCATTGCTTTAAAAAAATCAAACAGATGAAGAGGTATATAATAGTCTCAATGACCTTATCCACCTTCATCCCAAGCAAATCAAAGCTACTACAATAGGAAGGAATGGGGCTGAATTATTGAACCAGATTTTTAGTAGAAACAGAGACCTAGAGATGACTTCCAGGAAAAACTTCAACTTCTATCTCTTAATTCAATATAAATTCCTAATTATTTTTGTCGATATGGATAGATTTTTGAACTTTAACAGAAATACAATGTTTTTTGCTAACAATTATTCAACTAGTGGAAGGAAGCCAAGGCAAATCCAGAGAGCAAAAGTTCTTGATTTGAGGGAAAGAGAGGCACAGACTCTGGGGAAAATTCAGTTATATACACACATATGTAAATGTATGTGTATTTATATATGAGCACAAACACAGGCACTTAATTAAATACAGGTATCTAAGGCTAATTATCCAAAGACTTGCATTTAATTTAATTCTTGACTCTCACCAACCAGATTTACGATGTTGGACTGGTTGCTTCAACTCAGCCTATTTCTTTAATTATAAAGTGAGCATATTAATACTTATATTGCCTATCTGATAACATTTGAAATAATTTATGTGAAAGCCCTTTCTGCTATGCAAAGCAGTACACATGAATAAAGGATTGCTGGCTTTTTATCTATGCAAAAAAATTAATCAAATTTTAAATATTTGCCTTAGGTTATCCGGAAGGGAGAAGTCAGCTGTTGTTGGACCTGTACACCTTGTAAAGAGAATGAGTATGTCTTTGATGAGTACACCTGTAAGGCGTGCCAGCTGGGGTCCTGGCCCACCGATGACCTTACAGGTACATGTATCACAATGTCAGCATTGGTACATCCCTCAAAAATCAACTGAAAAAGGACACAGACAAGGGTGGAAGGGGACACATCTCCAAGTATTTCTCATCTTGGTGGTCTTGTTTATGTGACAAAGAATTCCCTTAGGGACAGAAGCCTTCCTGACACCTGGGCTAATCATGAAAATCTTTAGATTCAGGGAGAGATTGGCCTATATTCCCACCCCCACCCCCAAACTAGATCAGAATCCCCAGGTTTCCTACTGGGCATTTTCAGCCCATCTTCAAGATATTCCCAGAAGTTCCTAAGCAGAGCCCCAGTTAACTGTTATTTGAGGTGGAGAGAGAGAGAGATTAGCCAAGAAGAAACTAAAATATGTCATGACATATCCAAGAGCAAAAAGGTAGAACAGAATTGGGTAGAAGTTGGTCTAAAACTCTTTGTTTCTCTTAGTGCGTTTCCTTAATCTAAACTAGGAACCTCCAACTAATGAATTTTCAAATAATATTAGCACAGGGCAAGACTCATTTCTGCTTGGTTTTTAGGGTTTTTTGTTTTTCGGTTTTTTTTGGTTTTTGTGTTGTTGTGGTGTGGGGTTTTTTCCCTCCAAAAATGTTAAGAAATATGTCATTGTGTTCTCAAGATTATATTTCATAGCTATTTCTAATTTTGACAATATGAACACAGAATATACCCTCCATCTTTCTTTCCAATTTAGTCAATAAACATTTATTAAATGCATATCACATGCCGTTTGCCTACCACTGAAATAAAAATAGAGAAATAAAGATACAACTTCTATCTTATAGAAGTTAATGAGGGAAGCAAAATGGTAAAAATATAATTACAATATAATAAAAAGACGGATTTGTGGACATGGGAGTATAAGGAGGGGCCTATGAGACTGAGTTTGCAAGAAAAATAAGAGAAAAATCATTCCAGGTAGAGGGCCCACCATGCAGTACCTCAGGTCATCTAGTGGTTTTACAATTAAGATGGATTTATCACAAAACTCCTAGAGGCTAGAAGATTATGATGTCATCACTGTTTGTTAGACTCCATCCCTCACAGGATGAGAGATTATCCATGGTAGTTGTATTAGTTTATTCCAAAAGCCTGGTTCTAAAAATCCTGTAATCCTGGACCTTTTGAGACCAGCTCACATTAAGGCTTTGCTTTCAGTGATTGGTATTTATGCAAAAGACTTTCCTTTTCTTAAAAAAACAAAAAATTCTGATTTAATAAAACACCCAAGTGCCTTGTGATAACATTTGAGTCCTGTTTTCCCCATTAGACAATGAGCTTTCTGATACTCTTATATGTCCTCGTGTCCCCAGAGCCAACTCAGCGCTCAGCACAAAGCCTTCAATCAATTTAGATGAACAGATCAACTACAACACATACACACACACACACACACACACACACACACACATGCACACAGTAAAAATGTCAGAAAGAAAAAAATATGATTGGTTTTCTTGGGAAGGGGGTGAGGAGCAGTATTGATGATTTTTTTCTTTATGCTATTTCCTTACTTTTTTTTTTTTCTAATTTCTCATTTCAATGTGGATTATCATTAAATTGAAAAACTATCTTGCAGATTCAACTATCTGCATGGCTAAGCACCTTGCAAGTGAATATATAGTTGTAATTTTTTATCCTATGTTTTGTAAAACTGTGCCGCTGACAATGAACATGGTCTGCTTTTTCGTTCATTCACCAGAAAAGTATTTTATTATTACTATTTGCATTATAATAATAGGTGCTGGAGAAATAGAAATTTCTATGTCATTTGGTCCCCATATCATAGTTCTTGTATATTTTACCATCTTGTTGGGAGAGAGACATTAAACACACACACACACACTCAATCTCTGTCACTGTCTCTGTCTCTGTTTCTCTCACACACACACACACACGCACAGACAAATTGCGTTAAGTGATATGAAGTAAAAGAACAAGAGTTAAAAAGTGAAAATATTAGAGAAGACATCATTTAAATTCGTGGTCATAAAAGATCTCTCTGAAGAAGTGAAAATTAGCTGAGACATAAAGGATAAAGAGAAATAGCTACCAAAGAATGGTGAGAAGGGCATTTCTGGCTGAGGGAAAAGCACATGTGAAGGTCTGCAAATGGATAGGCAAATGGGAAAATGGTGTCAGAAGAGATCAGAAAGGTAGCAGGGGCTAGATGTTATAGCCTTGTAGAACATGTTCCCGATTTGAATGTTTAATATTAAGTGCAATGAGAAACCATCGCAGGGATTGTAGTAGAAGAAAACAAACGTGATTGGATGTAGATTTTTAAAATATCTTTCTGGTTGCTGTGAGGGGGAGTCATATGGAGAGGGATGGCAAGTGGAAGCAGGGAAACAGTTGGGTGATTACCGCAGGTTGCCACAGAAGGCAAGAGTTCTTGGTGTCTTGGACTAAACAGTGCTTTGGAAGATTTGAGATATACTTTAGAGTAGAATCAATAGGACATACAGATGAATTGGCCACAGTAGATATTATGTAAGGCCAACAAATTTTCAGCCTTGAAGCCTGGAGAAATAAATACATTCTTTGATAAAGATCAATAGTTTGACTTTAGGCAATATCATTTTGAGATGTCTTTAAGATTTTCAAGTATGAATTAATTAATTTAACAAATTAAGGCCCTAGTTTGTGCTAGAAAATGTAATAGGAACTGGAAATACAAAATATAGTCTAAGTTTCCAAGGAACTTATAATCCAGTGAGAGAAAAGCATGTGAACAGATAATAACACAGTGTACTAAGTGCTGTAGGTGAGGAATGAACAAAGGATTAAGGGGAAATGGATGTGGGCAGACCCAACCCTGAAGAATTTTGAAAGCTTTAATCTCGAGGCATAATCTTGAAGCTCACAAAAAAAAGTGAAGAAGATCATATTAGAAAGAGTGTGTAGTATCAAGGCTATTAATTGGCACCCTCATTCTCCCAGTTGCCCCAACCAAAAAGAAGTGAGTCATCTTAGACTCTTTTCCATTTTCCTGGCCATGCATATCCAGTCACTTATCAAGCCTGGCTATTTGAATTGCTAAATATTCTCACTCTCTCCCTGCTCTCCATTTGTACAACTCTTCCCTTGAATAAGTTCTCGTCATCTCACATTTGACTATTGCAGTAACTTCCCAGTTTATGTCCCTACTCCCAAATTTATGCCACATGCCTCTGAGTCCACTTTTCAACTTGCTAATGGATAATGTATCCAATATACAGATTTGTCCCTTTTATTTCGTTGCTCAATGCTTACTACTGGATTCATATCTCTATAGGATATATTCCAAGCTTTTTAACATGGCATACAAAATTCTCTCTCTCCTCCACCCTCCTATGATCTTTCTAGTTTCAACCAACACCACTTTATAACTCTCATTTTACATTATAGTATCAGGGGCTGCTTATAATTTGCATTTATACACAATGCTATTTTATTCCTCTGTCAGTGCATGTGTTATCTTCACTCCCTGGAAGGCACTTACTCCTCTTTCTTTACTTGAATAACTCCTACTCACCCTTCCTTACCCTGCTCAGATCTCATCTTCTTTATGAAACTTTCTTTGATATACTTAGACTGATAAGTCCCCTATTCTGTATTTCTAAAGCAAATTCTACTTTCCTCTTTAAATTATTTTCCTAACTGGATTTTAATGGTCTATATCCTTATCTGCCTCCCCTACTGAATCATTAGTTTCTAAAGGACATAACTTTGTCTCAATCATATTTGCATTCCCAGTGTCTAAAACAATGCCTGGCATAGAGTAGGCACTCAGTAAATGTGTGTCAACCTACCGTACAGTGATGGGGAATGTTACAAATGAATATGAAAGTAGGTATTAAGGCTATCCTATGAAGAAAGCCTTTAACTAGGAGTTTGGACTTTATCCTGTTGACAGTGTGGGGCCAGCAGAGGTTTTCAAGCAGAAGAATGAAATGATTTTCTAGAGCCAGCCCTGATGGCCTGGCAGTTAAAGTTTGACGCGCTCCGCTTTGGCGCCCCAGGTTTGGTTCCTGGCCACAGAACCACACCACTTAATCTGTCAGTAGCTCTGCTGTGGTGGCAGCTCACATAGAAGAATTAGAAGAACTTATACACAACTATGTGCTGGGGCTTTGGCAGGGTGGGGGAGGAAGATTGGCAACAGATGTTAGCAAAGGGCAAATCTTCACCTGCAAAAAAAAAAAAAAAGAATGAAATGATTTTCTTCTGGCTATGTGCATACATGTGAGTGTATCTGTATGTGGGGGTAGGGGTGGGGAAAAGTGGGGGGAGGGAAAGGGAATAAATGCCAAACCTGGAAAGGTTTCCACATTGATATTATGTGAAGTTTAACCTTTAATTGAGATCTACAGACTTTTCCAAAGAGCCTAGAGCTGTTTGCAACCCTATCTCACTGACTCTGTTTCAAAGTAACAGATCACTTGGAGCTGCTAGCTGGAAGACTGCTCTGATGGCTTCAGCTATTCCAAAGCCTGCCACAGACACGCTTGGGGCTAGCTTCAGGGAATATTATAAACCTTTCTTCTACTCACTTAACTTATAGTTACTCCACTTCAGCCTATAACATGACAGCTCAGGTCACCTTTGGGTCAGTGCCGTTATTGCGATAATGGCAACTAACACATACATAATGCTTCCAGTGTGCCAGGAACTGTTTGAAGCATCTTACAAATGTTAATTCATTTAATCCCAACACAACTCTGTAAAATTGTTAGCATGGTTAAGAGATCTGAGCCCACTTAGAACTGAATAATTATTTAAAGAAAAAACTAGCTGTAGCAATCCACTGACATTAATGTCTATATATTTATCCATATACTTGCATATATGCATATATTCATAGATGTCTGAAATGAAGGTTACCTACTATTAAGAAAAGATGTTAATGAGTGGTGGGATGGTGGGTTACTTTTTTGTACACACACATGCATGCATATATGTGTGTATAATATTGAATTATGTACATAATATTGAATTATGA